CCAGAGAAATCCTTTATCACAGATGAGTTTATGGCCACTTCTCAAAATCTTTTGCTTTATGATATCTTCTTCATTATATATACATTGCCGATGGGAAGGTTTTTAAATATCAGAAGTTGATCTAGAATCCTGTTTCTGAAAAATTATCAATATATCTGTGATTGTATTTAGCAAAAAAAAGGATATAGTTTCATAAGATTTTTAGAGTTGCCCTTAAAATAATTTAATCCAACCCATTCAAATGAGCTGATAGAGGCCCTAAGAGATTAAATGATTTGACCAAGGTCATCAAAACAACCTAAGTTGGAGTTAGAGGGAGAATCCACTTCTTGTCTCACACTTTAATGTCTCTGGTGCATTAGTTTCCTACCTAAACTGTTTCAATGTTTCAAGTCCCTTTTCACACACATACACACACACACACATGCACACACACACACACACTCATACACACATCAGGAACGAAGGAACTGGGAAAACAAAGACATGCTTATATAATTGAAACCATTTACTTAAAATAATACAATTGTAATTATTCCCCTGTGTGTATGACCATGAGCAAATTAAATTCCTGTACATATATAGCTATAAAAGTAGACCATGCTAATAGGAGACGTTGTGAGGGAGGAAGAAATTTTCCTCTGCCTTTCTAGGTTTTTCTGGCTGGTATAAAAATTAAATTGAGAAGCACAAGTCTTCTGCAGCTGCCAAGCCCTGTTGCCCACAGGTCCACACACACAGTCAACACAGTCCTGCCCCGTGTGAGCGCCCCGACCTCCCCAAGCGGACCCAGTCTCTCCACGGCGGGAGCCCCACACACTCCACCACCGCCCCACACTCTCCACCCGCTCCTTGTGCACACCCTGCCCCGCTCAAGTCGGCTCAGTTGCCAGGCTGCAGAGAATCCAGTCACCAATGATGTAATCTATGCAGAAATAGAAGTACAATGATGTACACCTGAAACTTTTACAATGTTATAAACCAATGTTACTGCAATAAACAAAAAATTAAAAAAAATTAAATTGAGACAGATTAATAGGAGAAAATCAAATTTAATTGTGTATGTACAGGAACCCCATATACATGAGAGGGTCAGAGACCCCACATACATGAGAGGTTCAGAGACAAAAACGTAAAATGAGGTATATATGTCATCTTGAGCTAAGGAATGGGACAGGGGCCTGAGAGAAGGGTAATTCACAGGATGATAAGAAGAGCAGATGTTCAGTAGTTAGAGGTTTGCCCTGCCGTACAGATTGGTCATAAAATTTATTTCTGGTAATAACTCCTATTATGGGCAAGGCCCCCAATTTAAATTCTTTAAAGGAGAGGTAAAGGTTTCTCAAGCCCCCAGGGTCTTGATTGCCTTTAGCTCAATATATTCCACATGCCAAAGTGGCACATCCTGGGAGGGCCTGGTCTGAATCCCTTTGATGGCATTAGATTATAAGATATAATCATTCCAAAAACTTTATGGTTAGTATTAAGAACTGACAAATCAAGGAGAATGTATAGACATACTGTACCTTACTTTCATCAAAAATTCTAATGAGGGGCCGGCCCGGTGGAGCAAGTGGTTAAGTGTGTGAGCTCTGCTGTGGCGGCCCAGGGTTCGCCGGTTCGGATCCTGGGCGCGCACTGACGCACTGCTTATCAGGCCATGCTGTGGTGGCGTCCCATATAAAGTGGAGGAAGATGGGCACGGATGTTAGCCCAGGGCCAGTCTTCCTCAGCAAAAAGAGGAGGATTGGCGGATGTTAGCTCAGGGCCGAACTTCCTCACACACAAAAAAAAATTCTAATGAAATTTCATGATTTCATCATGGAGAATGTGGAAAAGATGCTGGCAGGAAGAATAACACATCTAGGTAAACTAAAGACTGCCCGAAAAGCCAAATCCCTAAATCATTGCACCTATTTCAAGATAGAGGACTGAGAAATGTTCACTCTGGTGCATTCACCAGTGCTGCATATCCTTGAAATAGTTTTTAGAAGACAGATTGCACCATAGTTTCAAAAGCAACCACAGAGGAGATATTTGTCAAAACTATCACTGGTCTGAGATTTTACCCTACTTGCAAGCTAACAATTTAGTCTGTCACATTTTAATGGATGCTGGCAGAAGCTACAACACTCCAATGTCAGAGACAAAGATCTTGATTACTGACAAAACAGCAGGCAGCATCTCTTCCTCTTGTCCCTCAAGTCCCATAGAATTGGGATGGAGCAGTCCCAATGGATACTGTGCGCACACTGGTTTTGTGTCACAGCTGAGGTATCCTGAGCTTAAGAAACCAAAATCCTTTATAGGAAACTGATGACAAGTCTGCCTCAACTTTATCCCAAAGGAGACATTATCCTTATAATCCTGGAAAGCTAACAAATCTGTCTTCTGACCAAGGAGTGAGACACTATCACTGTCATCCAAGGCTATTTGCCTACACAAACATCCTTGAAATGAGAGTCCAGAGCAAAAGCTCTCAGTGCCTTTACTCCAAAGACATGCAGAAATGTGAGAGATCCATGGAAAACTGTTTCCCAACGGGGGGCTGTGGCATCAGTCATTCAGGAATGTGCACAGATTGCTCCAAATGAACTTCCTCTGACTGGGCACCTTTTAAACTTTGTTGGACCAGAGGATGGGATGTGACAGCTGGCACTTGCTTTCAGGAGCAGTCATCTAAAAATGATAAACCTTAAATCCTACATATTACCTCACAAGCCCTCACAAAATCCTTCAGAAAACTTCAAACGCTCATGCCCATCACTTCCACAAATTCCTCATTCTGCACTGATAAGAACAAGAAAAGGAGGAAAAGAAGAAGAATTTTATGATATAATTATGTTATTGTCCAGTGGTTTTATGGACTTCTTCCAGGACTTTTTCTGACTTCAAAGATGAAGCTGGGGTGTGTTACATGGGGTCAAACGTTGGGCAACTATGTAGAGGAGGGAGGGAAATTAACCAACTTCCCTACCTGAGAGGGAAGTGAGAGATCTGGGATGATTGGGTCTGAGACCACGTAGTCAAATAACCATCTCATCAGCCACTGTCACTTTTTACTGGATTGAATTTAGGGTTTACCCAGTTAGAGCTTTTTCCTGGTTCATTATCTGTGCAGAGAAGTAGTAGAGGCAGCAGCACAATGAGCACAGAGCCTCCCCAAAATAGCTATAGAATCTGCCCCCACCAACAACAACAATAGCCAGATCTGCTTTGGTAAGACAAATTCAGAATTGGAGGAAATTCAGAGTTGGAAATAAGTATGTTACTGCACAAAAATGGGATTCTCCTACCCAATGTACATAAACAAGCTAATTAATTATGGTCTCAGCTTTTGGGAAAAGAGATCAGCTTTATACTGTGAGACCCATCTGCAGGGAGACAGGGGGCATGTGCCCTCAGATCTGTATCCCCGATTCAGGATTTGAAATGAAATTTAAGAGGTTAGGGAGAACGGGTTGGCACATGGAAATGCTGGCGGGACAGGTTTTGATTGGTGGGCTTCAAGCATTTATGGTAAGGTTCTAAAATTTTATAATGAGATGGAGAAGGAATTTTAACACCAGATCTTCCTGAATGATGGACCCCTTGCTTCTGATAAGAGTCTGACTTTTAAGTTCCAGTCGTGTCCCGGTCCTTTGGTTCCATGAGGAGGAGAGTCTTTAGTTCCTCGGTCATTTCAGGTCAAGATTGCTTCTTCTGTACATGCTCTGGCTACATGACCGCAAATTTTCTGAAAGACAATTTCTTAATTACTCTGTTGGTAAGATGGAGTCAGTTGAACTGGTCATGGAGGGCCTGTGGTTACAAGTATACTATCCTTAAGATAGTAGTTTATAAAGAAATATCCAACCTACTTTCTGCTTCAATGGGTTGGAATTCCTATCTATTTGCCCTCTGTCTAAGGGGCAATTAGCATGTTTAAGACCCTGCCACTTTTCTGCTTAATTATAGAGAATTCACATGCAAAAAAGGCCACTTGGTCCCTGATGGTATTTTTAGTTCCTAAAAACTCTGTGCTTATTATAAAGTATTAACAAACAAGAAAATATTTTATTTTATTTTTACTTTTTAACAGAGTACTATAACGTTAAGCAAGAATTTAGCTGCAAGTTCCCTGCTTTCTCTTCTTTGTCACTATCCTCAGCAAAGCCATGCTTAAAATTTTCCTTGTAGCATAAAGAGCAGACAGGGATATTGAAACTCTGGAAAAGAGATATTTCTTCACCAAGTGGTGTCAGTCTTTCATTAAAATTAGCTCCGACATTTTAGGCACAAGCTAGGTAATTTCTGATTTGACTAATTTCTGGAAGATTCAATTTTAAATGGCAAGCAGGACCTTTCAAGAATTTTTTTCTTTTGCTATAACTGTGATTTATAAGAAATATATATTTGGGCTCTGGCTAGGGTTCCTGGCTCACAGCTCCCAACATCCTTGGAATTTCCTGAATGATAAGCACAACGGGAGCATCTTTTGTTATAATATTTGGTCTCTTGTCCTCAGTTCCTGAAATCACTTCAGAGCCATACAGGTGAAATGGGTGTCCCATTATTCATAACAAGCCCCTTTCCACCACAACAGGGTTTATGTTAATGAGGTGACTTTTGGAAAGCACCTGAGGATGGGAGCTGCCTGCCAGGGGAACCACAGGGTAAGAGGGTTGGAACTTTCAGTACCACCACAGTGATGGGGGGGGCGGGGCTGGAAGTTGAATCAATCGCCAACAGCCAATGATTTAATCAATCATGTCTATGTAATGAAGCCTCCATAAAACCCAAAATGACAGGGTTCAGAGAGCTTCCAAGTTGGTGAACTCGTGGAGATTTGGGAGAGTGGTACTCGGAGAGGGCATGGAAGTTCCACGCCCTCCTTTCATAATATACTGGTATCCTGGTATCCTTTCCTGTCATAATATCCTTTCATAATAAACCAGTAATATAGTAAGTAAAATATTTCTCTGAGTTCTGTGATCTGCTCTAGAAAATTAATGAAACCCAAGGAGGGGGGTCATTGGAACCTCACATCTATAGCTGTTCAGTCAGAAACACAGATGATAACCTGGGCTTGCCACTGGCATCTGAAGTGACAGGGGATTGGGGTGTAGACAGTCTTGTGGGACTGAGCTATTAACCAGTGGGATCTGATAATATCTCCAAGTAGATAGTGTCAGAATTGAGTTGAATTGTAGGACACCCAGCTGGTGTCTGGAGAACTGCTTGTTGGTGTGGGGAAACCCCCCACACCCTCCTACATTGGAATTGGTGACCAGAACACTTTTACCTTTATAGATGCATGCTTTGACTTCATATTTGTACACACAGTCTTCAGAATGACAATGACCTATTTGCAAATGATGTCTATTCTTCATAATAAATCAATTAATCTTGTTTATAATCCATTTTACATGTGAAGATGGACTATATAGCACAGTTACCAAAGAGACTAGAGCTAAGCATTCATTCAATTTCAAGTTACGACCTCTGAATTTATGTGACTTCTTTGAAGCCTGTGTCCCACCTCATTTGAAATTATTCGTCTTTCAAATAAGCATTCACCCTTGTTTGTGCTTTACATTACCAATGTGTTGGATAAAACAGAAATGGAGAAAATTGGGTAGAACTATGTTGTCAGCTTTTTGTCAAATGATAACATATTCGGGAATACATTATTGGACTGCAGCAGATTTCCTGGGTGGTTCTGAGCAACTAACTACGTTGTCTGTTTATTACCCCCAGCTACTAGCATCAACCAAACTATCAAATTGAATTTTGGGCATGGGGCTGAGATTTACCAATGTTTCATTGCCAACCCTACATCTAAATACATGGTGCACTTGAACATATTGATGACTTTTTGTGTGTGAAAAAAGATAGGAAAGTCTCTACCCAAGGGCACAGAGTCCTTTAGGGTAGCGATTAATGAATTTCTCAGAGTCTATGTAAGAAATCCTGCTTCAAGGCAACTCAAAATTTATTGAAATGTCAACCTATTTTCCAAAAGGAATAATTGTGAAATAAATTCAAATTCCAAATGCAATGACAAAGAACCTATTTAGAAATCTCTTGTGTGATAAACAGGTTTTTTCTCTTTTGCTTGTTTCTTTTGTTCTGTTTTTTGTTTTAATTTATTATAACTGTAATAGCTGAACGAGTTGCAACTGGGATAGGGATTTGTTTACTTTGCTTACCTGCAACCATTGCTAATGACTGACATTAGCTGTATTTTCTGTGCCAATAGATGAGTTTACAACTCATGATATCTGTTCTATATTATTCCTTTTCCAAATATTCATCTGATATCATTTCAGTTAAAAGGGAAGGAAGATGGATTGCCATTTATCCTCAGAAATGTATGATAAAAAAAAAAAAATTAGGGGCATTTTGTTAGTGTTCCAGGGGTTGGTGACTTGCCCAAGATCACATAGTCATTTTGTGTAAGAACCGGGATTCTCTCATGGGTCTGACTACCTCTAACACCTGTTCTCTTCCTGCTGTCCCCAACTGCCAAACTTTCCTGTCTTATGATCTGAGCTGTTCTTTTCCTTCACTATGCTCAACCATGGTTTCTGCTCAGAAAAGCCGTGAGAGAGGTTTTCATAAAAGATATCTTCAAGACACATTGCTTTTGTGTATCTTTCCTTTAATCATTCTTGATATATTTTAGCCTTTTACCTTACATCTTTTCCCCAAATTTATCTTGGATGTACAATTTCAAACTTCAATTTGCCCTGCTGATAAAAAGGAAAGGAGATAGTTATTGACATTTTTTTAAATATCAAAAAATTCAAAATAACTGCATTTGTTTTATTTATTTTTTTTTAGGGAATAGACTATTTTATTTATTTATTTAATTTTTTGTGAGGAAGATCAGCCCTGAGCTATCATCCATTCTAATCCTCCTCTGTATGCTGAGGGAGACCGGCTCTGAGCTAACATCCACTGTCAATCCTCCTCCTTCTTTTTTTTTTCCCCAAAGCCGGAGTAGATAGTTGTATGTCATAGTTGCACATCCTTCTAGTTGCTGTATGTGGGACACGGCCTCAGCATGGCCGGACAAGCGGCGCGTTGGTGTGCGCCCGGGATCCGAACCCGGGCCACCAATAGCGGAGCACACACACTTAACCGCTAAGCCAGGGGGCCGGCCCACTGCATTTGTTTTAAATAGTGCACTTTTATTAATACTAAAACGCTACAGCAATGGTGAAGTAACCCGGCTTGATATCAGCAGCCAAAACAAAAATCAAAAGGTGTAATCTCTTTCAAGTGCGGCTCTGATCTCCATTCGTCAGCCCACGTTGCTCTACTCTGCTGTTGCCCTTGGAGTGGAGGGAGAATCAACGGATGTTACGAGGTGTTCTGCAAAGGACCTGACACTTGGTGCTTCATTTACTGAAGGGTGAAAAATTGACTGCAGAGCAGGAGGAGGATTGCAAGATGTGGTCTAGATAAGATCCAAACACCTTCTAACCCCTCAGAATACTATTAACCAGGCTTACTGAGTAAATATTTATTGAGCACCTACTGGGGAGAGGCCATAGGTAGGTACTGGGTTGACAAGATTAGTCCTTACCCTTGAAGATCTAATGATGAATCTTGTGATGAAAGCTTATTCCCTTCAAGTCCAGGGCTCACACAGCTGAGCTTTAAAGACATCTCCAGCAGAGAAAGAAAATGGAGAGGCAAACAGGGCAAATCTATGTTAGAAAAAAATGTCACTAAATTCAGGGAAAAATGAGTGACTAATACATCACTCCTGGATAGTTTTTCCTGAGGATGGTATATTTCTAATGTCCCAGATTTGCACTTTTATTCTAAAGTTCTGTGTTTCTGAAACTTTGCTGCTAAACCGAGAATCACCTGTGGCTCCACCCCAGACCCACTGGATCAGAATCTGTGAAATGAGTCTGGGAAGCTCCAGTATTAACAGGTGACCCTGGGTGATTTTACCAGGACGTTTAGGAAGCATTGCTATAGCTGGTGCCTGAAACTCCACCATTTGAGTTTATCTCTTTTGTTGAGCAGCAGATCTCAAACTTTAGCTTGCACGAAAGAACCCGAGTCTCTACTATTTCAGCTTAATCCCTTTAGTTTGACAGATCCTCTCAAAGGTTAGGGGACATTCATGCTAAGAATGTTAAATCTCCTGTACCCCACCCTCCTAGAGTTTAATTGAGTGGGCCTGCTGTGGAGCCCATTAATCTGTGTTTTGACAAGCATGTTAAGAGATTCTGATGAAGGTGATCCTTGCCAAGGCACTTTGAGAAATATTGGTTTAATTGGGATTTATTCCTCATTAAGAATAACACATTCTTAATAAACACATTCTACCCTTGTATTTTGGTGTAAAAAAAAGGATTTGATAATCGGATTTAATTCCAGATTATAAACCCAGTAGAATGTAAACTCTTATGAGGACAGGGATTTTTTTTTCCTGTTTTGTTTAGTGATGTATGCCCAGCACGTAAAAGAGTGGCTTCTATATAGTAGATGTTCCCAGCTATTTGTTGAGTTAATGAATGAACTTAAGGTGTAGAGAGGTCATGTCTCTTACTCTGGCATTCCTCCCATATCTCCTAACACCGTGTTATAACCAGAAAGAATTCACAAGTGAATTCACAGAGAACAGGAGGGTGGTGGCCAGGAATAGAAGGGATAACTCTGAAACACATTGGAACTTCAGAAGGGAGAAGAAAGGGTCAATAAAGAGAGGACAGGACAGAGTTAGCATGCAACTCTGCTGACCTCATAAGGGCGATCCTAGTCTTGATCATTGTATTAGTTCCCTAGGGCTGCTATAACAGTGTCACAAACTGGGTGGCTTAAACAACAGAAATTTATTATCTCACAGTTCTGGAAGCTGTAAATCTAAGATCAAGGTGTTGGCAGGTTAGTTCTTTAGTTAGCAGGTTGTGAGGAAGAAACTGATCTATGCCTCTTTCCAAGCTTCTGTTGGTTTGCTGGCAGTCTTTGGCATTCCTTAGCCGGTGGATTCATCACCCTGACCTCTGCCATCATGTTCATATGGTGTTCTTCCTTCTTCTGTGTCTGACTCTGTGTTCAATTATCCTTTTTTATAAGGATGCAGTCACATAGGATTAGGGCCCACTTTAATGACCTCATCTTAGCTTGAATATCTGCCAAGACCCCTATTTGCAAATAAGGTCACATTCACAGGCATCCATCACTGACTGTCCCTGGAAGCTTTGAGTTGCCCCCTCTGATGAGAGATGATATTGTTGGAGCTGCAGCATGAGAATCCCAGAGGGTAAAGTGAGGTTCTGACGAGGAAATATTTTCTTCCTTATAAGGGAAAATATCCTCCCTTATTTTCTGGGCTTTCCCTATGCGTGTTAGGGGTATAATTCATTTGGTGACATAAGTGTTGTATCTAAGGTTTCTGATTCTATTCCAGCTAAGATCTACCTCATCATCACGTCAGAAAAATGGTTGAGAGTTGTTTGTAATTGGTTTCATTACTGAACAAATCCTTGAAATAGGTCTGACTTCCTATAGTTTGAGTTTTACAGCCTGTTACTTACTACAAAGGTTGTCACCAAAGCCAGCTGTTGGACAGAAATTCGCACAGGAGTATTGAGACAACAGAATGGAGGAGGAAGTGCTTTCCTGGCAGGGAGGTAGTGTCCAATCTGGTCAAAGTAACCTGTTGCTTTGTGCTGACTATTAATTGAACATTTATAGGTAATAGGCATAAATTATATATTTTTAATCCTTAGTCTATGAGGTAGATATTCTTGTTTTGTTTGTCAGTGGTTAAAACTAAGGCGGAGACAGACAGAGAAAGACAAACACTGTATGACCTCTCTCATATGTGGAATATAAACTAACACACAGACAGAGAGAACAGTTTAGTGGTTACCAGAGGGAAGGGGGTTGGGGGGCACAAGGGGTGAAGGGGCGCATTTATATGGTGACTGAAAAATAATAATGTACAACTGGAATCCCACAATGTTATAAACTATTATGACCTCAATAAGAAAAAAAAAAAAAAACTGAGGCAGAGAGAGAATAAATAGCTTGCCTGAAGTGGTGGGGCTGAGACTCATATCTAGGATTGCTTGAGCCCCAAACTGATGGTGTTAAGCACCCTACTCTATTTCAGTACTTGATGCTACTCCCACTCAAGCTTTCAGTCTCAACCTCCAAACCTCAAGATCATTGAGAAAGAATCTACACCTGATCCATCTTTGTATTTCTCACATTGCTTCACTTGATGATCTGTATGTAGCAGGTGTTCAATATTTGATTGTCAAATGAATGAATAAGCACACTTTATAAAACGGAATCTGAATCAGGTCCTGATATTTGCCAGAGGCTTGTACATAAAATGGAAAAAAAATATTAAAAATAGAAACAAAATCTCTTTCCTTCTTTGTTAATAATGTTTTAATAATTATAAATGAAAAGGGAACTGCTTAATTCAGTGAAGGGTAAGAGTATGTTTTGGTTTGGGGGGAGAATGTGACAGCTGAGTGACAGGCTCAAGTGCTGCCACCCTCCCTGCGTCTCCCGCCTTACAGCGGCCTCCTCATGGGCCAATCGCGCCTCCTGCCCCTTGACCTTTGGCTTGACCTTCTGACTTGCTTTGGCCTATGGTATGTCACTACGTATGGGTGGAAGTGACTAAAAGCCGGTTACAAATCTAGACCCTACAAGGCCTCTTGTGTTTCTGCTTGCCCTCTTGCACTTTAGGCATCACCATGAGAAAGCTTTCCCCAGCCTGGGACCCAAATGAGACATGTAGAGTAGAGCTGAATCAGCCAAGCCCACCCTGGTTTGTCCAACTCCCAGTTGTGTGAGCCTTACCATCCAATTGCAGATCCAGTGAAATAAAAATTTCCGTCTAAGCCACTGAGTGTTGTGGCATAGCTAATGAATACAGGAGATATTTCCCTTGTTTTCAGAGTTAAATGCCAGGGCCTCTAGGTCAGCAACATGCTATTCTAACATAATAATTAGCTCTCTGTCTCTCACCTTTTGATTCTTTAAAAACAGTTAAACCTCAGAGATGGCCCAGGGCTGAGAAGCTAGGACAGAGTCAACCAAATGAAGAACTATTGGCACTCCCCAGTCTGTCAAGAAGAGCAGTCTCCCTGGGCTAACTCCTTAATGTGGAGATTAGTTCTGTTTTAGCAAGTTGGACTTAGATGTTTATAAGAAAATTTCTAATATTCTGCAATTTACTTTAAATGTGGTTTGTGTAATATGTGTGCGTGTGTGTATGTGATTGGTTTTCAATCTCCACTCTGGCATACACTACTGGTCCTAGTTACTTAGCATTTCACAGTCTGTATTCAGAAATTCAGGCTTCAGTGGTGCCCTTCAACTATGTTTATCTCCGATCAGCACCAGATGGCTTGTTAATTAGTATAATGTAAAGAATTATTTTAATTGCCGACCTCAGTGGTTTCAGTATATGTGGATTGGCTAGAAATATTGTCTATATTTCTGCCTTTGCATGAATTGGGATAAGAGATTTAGAGAAGCCAGGATCCTATACCTTTTAGACTATACCCCAGTTCTATGATTATGTCTAGTTCTTGTAAGTAGCCACTTTTAAAGGATTCTGAATAGTGTCATGTCGGTCTTACATAGAAATTTGAAACAAAATATTTATTGAAATGCCTAAAAGGACAAAGTTATTCCTACTTTCTTATAAATGTGGTATGTATAGCAGAATACTATCTTTAACTTGTAACATACCATTTGGTGGTGAAGTCCCAGGAGAGGAGACCTAGAGACGGTTTTCTATCTCTAACTGTTGGAGGTTACCAGTATCTACCAAAACAATCTAATAATCGGGTATAACCAAATGCCTTTGCTCAGTTTACAATTGCTTCTTAAAGAGATTGAGTTAAAAGCTAATTATAAGCGGAATGAATAAATTAATTGGTGGCATGTTCCTTTAATGAAATTCTATTCAGCAAACATAAAAAATATTGCTATATGTAATGTGAAACATAAAGCTAGACAGTAGTCAAAGCAGTAAAGACAGATTTTATTCAGTAATAACTATTGCAATAGGGGAGAGAACTCAGTGTCACCTGAGCTCAACTCCACCAAAACAAAAGGCAGGAGATTTTTTAAAGGCTGGGGTGTGCTAAAGGAAAGGCACTGAGGGCTTTAAGGGTGGATTTGGTCCATGTGACTAGACCATCTGGGTTTGCTAATTGGTGCTTATCTGGAGGAGAAACAAACTTCATATACCTTTATGAAAGGAGGCAATGGTACCTGTCGGAGCAAGGCGCCCCCTGAAGTTAGGACCTTACTCTCCCATGGGAATTGAGACCAAGAATGAAAGTCATCTCCCTGAATGTGTGCATTTCAAAGAGATGGTGCTCAGGTCACTGAGGAGACAGTTCCGAGTACTGGAAGATTTATATCTCAAAGGGGCAGAGAAAAGATTTATAATTGCAAGCTTTCTAAAGGAACCGCTCCAAGAGGGGTTTAGGGGCCTATCTGCCTATCACCAGGTTTCAGCTGGAACAAACAGTAAATTCTCCTGGCAGTCTTGTACTTTCTCAGGCAGGCATTTTAAGGGGGGCTGGGGTCATCCTAGGGACATGGCCTTAGGCTCCTAGAAGCCATGCTAGAACTTGGTCAAGTCTCTTAGTGCAGGGGTTTGAATGAAGTCGTTATGTGCCAAGAGGTTTTTTTTGTAATTCTCAGTAACAATAAGAGTGAATCTCAAAAACATTAAGTTGAGCTGTATATTTCATATCATGGCATTTAACTGTGCATTTGGTTTGACTCAATAAAAAAAAAAATGACTAGTCATAAGAAAGATGTCAAAATAACGGGCAGATCCATGGCATGCTGGGAATTGTTCTACCTCTTTAGAACTGTGATCCTTGTCCAGAAATTCTCTTTCTTTTCAATTAAATTCTTGAATCCAGGCTGCCACCTTCTCATTTTTCTGTTCCTGATTTCCTCTTTGAAGTTCCCAGGAACTTGATTTCTTCATCTACATGGAAATATATTTGCACTACAGGCAGCATCATTCACATAGATTAGGAAGTGAAGCACTTCACTGGAGATTTGCAATGACAACTGGCACATCCCCACATAACCACCCTGGAACTGGCTCAGATTGGCAAAGTGATTTGGCTAAAGTCACACATATAGCTAATCACAGCACATGACTTATAGGTAGAACTCTTCTTGCTTACGATACAGTGTAGCATAAAACTTCCATACATGTTTGGATATTGGGTTAAGATAAACAGATTCCTTTAGTATTTCATAATATAAACTAGATTCATTTATAATGAGGAAAAATTTATTTATTGTTCTATTTTTCTAGTAAATGAAAATGTAGGTAAGTAAACTCAGGTATTTTACATAGTTTTATTTCTACTTTCAATTCTGAAATAATGTATGAAAAATTTATTTAACTTGTATCTGTTCCATGCTTTTAACAGTTTAGTCAACTGTTTCCAGGCTTACTGTTTATTTTTACCACATCTTTTCCATTATAATCTACTTTTATTTGAGCTTTAGAACTCTGAGGTTTCCTCCTTCAACATCCCTCTCATTGGTATTTAAGACAGGTTCCCACAGCTTCAGCCTGGGTCAAAGTGAACTGAATATTGATTTTAATCATGTGAGCTTTCTGAGGCCTAAATCTGAAGGTCAGGTTGAGTTGTATGCCACCTGGATCAATATGGAAT